TCCCTTGGCTTGTTCAGTTGCTGGGGTGGCTCTTCCCACAGCCGGTGAATAGGAGCTGCCTTGGGGAAGGGTTTGCCGTGTCCTGCCATGAAGTGCTGAGCGTTTCTGCAAGGATCAGCTCCCTGCTGTGAGAACAAATCCCCCTGAGCGTTCTCTGTCTCCTTAGGGCACGGAGTCCATCAAGATGGAAAACGGGCAGAGCACGGCAGCCAAGCTGGGGCTGCCCCCTCTCACCCCAGAGCAGCAGGAAGCTCTCCAGAAGGTGAGTGAAGCTCATTGCTCGTGTTTGGGGCTGCTCGTTGTGTTCTCAGTGAGCCCCTGGCTCTGATCTCTGTGATTGTGGCCAGGCTGGGGACCCCAGGGACACATTTGGGCTCAGGAATGGCCTGGGCTGGTTTGCAGAGCTCGTGGGCACCGTGGGGAGCACGATGGGGAATGGCTGGGGTGGCTCAGAGGGGGTTTAATTAAAAAAGCCAATCAGTTCACAAATGGCATCCTAATTCGGATGGGAATTCTGGGCTGGGATTGGGATCTGCTCCAGCTCTCACTGTCCCCACCTGAGAAAATGCCAGAGGGGAGCTGAGCGTGCCCAGGGGAGTGTGCCCAGGTGTGGGGTGAGGTTTGCCTTGGCCCTGAGCCTCCGGGCCAGCAGCTCTGGAGAGGACTGGGAGAAACCCCAAAGGAGCCTCGAGGGTGCAGAGAGAGCCAGAGGGGAACTGGGCACTGAGGGAGGGGAACTGGGCACTGAGGGAGGGGAACTGGGCACTGAGGGAGGGGAACTGGGCACTGAGGGAGGGGAACTGGGCACGGAGGGAGCCGAACTGGGCACGGAGGGAGCCGAACTGGGCACTGAGGGAGGGGAACTGGGCACTGAGGGAGCAGAGCCAGGGCTGAACTGGGCATTAATGGGGCAGAGCCAGGGCTGAACTGGGTGTGCTGGGAGGGCGGTGCCCAGCCCAGGGTGGCCATGGGGGGGTGCAGCCCCTCCCCCTGTACGTGCAGCCACTCTGAGAGGAGAGCACTGCCCAGGTGAGGGGCGGGGCCGTGCCCAGGTGAGGGGCTGTGCTGGAGTCTGGGGGAGGAGAGGGGAATGCAGCTCTGCCAGTGCCTGCTGCTGCCCACAGCCCACTCTGGGCAGT